GACTAAAACTAAAATGGCTTTTTAGTCAAAAGACTATGACTAAAACTAAAATTGACATTTTCCACCAAAATGAACACTGCACAGAGGGGCCGTGGAAAGGGCAAAAGATACAGACCAGGGCTTGGGTGAGAGACACCTAGAGGGGCTGGGGAACACAAAGAGACACAGAGGGGCTGGGGAGGGGGCAAAAGAGACAGACCCGGACTTGAAAGAGAGACACCTAGAGGGGCTGGGGGACACAAAGAGACACAGAGAGGCTGGGGAAGGGGCAAAAGAGACAGACCCGGGCTTTGGAGAGAGACACCTAGAGGGGCTGGGAGGACACAAAGAGACACAGAGGGGCTGGGGAAGGGGCAAAAGAGACAGAGACTTTTTACTAAACCCATTAGATTTTAGTTGTGTCAACTAAAGTCTACTGGAGATTTAGTCGACTAATACTAGACAAAACCTAAAAGAATGCAGATGACTAAAATACAACTAAAACTAAAATAGCTTTTTAGTCAAAAGACTATGATTAAAACTAAACTGAAATTTGCCGCCAAAATTAACACTGCATTAATCCCATGGGCAGAGAGCTTTGAGAGCGTTCTAAGTACCGACTGGACATAATGGATGCCATTCAGCTCCCGTCAGCTTTGAGTTCATTACAACTCCTACAATAAATCTGACGCATGGAAGCCTACCTAGCAAGACTTAAAGGAACTGCTACTAATGTCTCGGTGCCAAATACCACAGGGCACGTTCAGAGGTCTTGCGGAGTCTGGGTCGATGCCAGACTTTTTTCCCCAGGACTTACCCAAATTAGGCATGTGGTTTTTGTGTTGTGGCAGATCATTGTATACATTACAGATATATAGCTCCAGTTAGACTAGGACAGATTAGCCACATTACAAACAAACCGGCCACTTAATTTACTTTTCGTGTCAGGCCTTCATCTTCCTGCGTATTTACCTTCAGCTCTGATGGACAGATGTAACCGACCAGTCTCCCCTCAGACACATATAACCAGTCACAGCTTTTACAACTAGGCTCTGTTAGGCACATTATGAGGTAACACAAGTGAATATACTCACAAACATGAAGAGCCAATCAAAAAACGATTCATTGTGAGATCAGCGGGTGATGTCATTTTCAGGTTACTTTATACAGAGAGCAACAAAGTTTTATATTACATTATATTGCATAAGATTGTATGCAAGCAGCTTTTATAGCACTGCACAATCGAATGGTTTTATCCTGAAAAAAAAATGCAAACTTGAGAAAGCCAAAATGTGTTACTTCAGCCGTATATATTTGATATAATCCATTAAACAGAATACAGCAAATTAAATGTTCCTTTACTTAGTTTTTAAGGGCTCTTTTAATTATGTTAGAGCAACAAACCCACCCTAATGGTCAGTGAATCAATAGAAAACTGTCGTCATTTTTATTATTATGGAATATCTGTGGATATTTATCAAGGCAAAAACAGGTTTATCAAGGCAAAACAAATGCTAATCAAGGAGTAATTATCAAGGTAGACAATAGAATGGTTCTCAGTATTTAGTCTTCACGCTCAAAATATCATGTTTTGCCTTGATAAATCTCCATCTATGTGTAATACAGTTGCCTTGTGTATTATTTTGTAATGACTACATAAATGTTAGCGCTTCTCCTGGCTTATCCTTATTTGTGGGATCAGCCATCTTTAAGTCCCCTGGTCAAAATGACCACTTTTCTGCTAAGGCCAGACACAATCTGAAGGGTTTGCCAGCAGCATGTCCATGGTAGTGCGTTGGAGTGCCCTGGCGTCCCCCAATATGTGTGTCGGTCCCTGTCTTCACAATACCTTTTCAGAGCACTGGAAGCTCTCCGTCTGAGCTATGTTTAGCCGTGCAGAACTTAGCTCATTTGTTGAGATTGATCAGCTGACGCTCTCAGACAATGTGCTTTGCAGAGCTTAGCTAAGGAGAGCTAACGGGAGGTTCAAAGCAGGAGCTTCCAGCTCTAAAGGCTGTAGTAGAGTGGCATCCGATACACCACAGGTAAGAAGTCAAACCATAACCACAAGAATGTGCTATAGTGGCTATGGTGATTGAAGTGTTCCTTTACCAACATTCACAATATTGCATTATAAACTGGAATGCTCAATGCAATTTTATGATTGATGGCAAGTTATGCCAAAACAAAAAATGTAATGTGTATCAAGATGTCCAGGTTATTCGAAGCAATCTTGGTGAGCTAAGACATTTTTATCTTGTACTTTGCCAAACAGACTTAAAGGGTTACTCCAAGCACCAAACCACTATTTGAAGTGTTTATGGTTCCTGGAGTCTTTATGTACAGCAATTGAACACTGCGCTGCACATACAGAGTACATACAGAGATTAACCAATTAGCTGTCAGCATCACTTGCCAGATTATGTCAGTTCTGTGCAAAATTGGAATCTGATGCCAGCACAGTTCCCGTTCAGTGTCTCCTCTGTCCTCAGTGTCCTCCCTGGTTGGAGTGATTTGGGCCAATGAGGATCGTACTGAGGGGAAAACTTGGGTTTGACAATGAAACTGAGGTAAGTTATAGCATTTATTTTATTTGTTTTGAAACTTGGGGGGGAAGGATGACCACCTCAGAAATGGTTACCCTAACCAGAACCTTTGTTTTATAAAAGCATATTTTATAGTTGGAGTAACTCTTTTAGAGAGAGGAAAAGATTTGTTTAAAAAATAAAAATAAAAAAGCTTTCTACGCTATCTGAAAATGAAGAAACAGAAACGTTTTAAAGGTTTCTAATGGAAAAATACTGACAATATTAGGTCACTGTGTACCATACTATTTAAAAAAAAAAAAAAAGAGAGAGAGAGAGAAAAAAAAGAATGGTAATACGGACAAATTAATTATATAAAACAAAACTATCTCTGAAGCCAAGCCCTAAAAGATGAACAAGCAAGCTGTACTGGGTGGGGCTCTTCCCTTTATAAAAGGAGTTATCACCAGCTCAAAATAAAATACTGTACGAAGACTCGTATCTGTTACCTTCCATAGCAAGAGGCCATCACAGCCCAAATCATGTCCGGCTACCAAGGATTAATTGACCAGGCCCAGAAAGCAAAGGAGACAGGTACCAATAAATCAAATAATTCTTCTATATGAATATTGCATGCTTACTTGGCAATACATTGCTTTAGGGTTTTATTTACTAAATTATGAATTATAGTAAAAGGAAAATTGCAGTTCCAAAACTAGATTAAATTAGCTAAATGGACCTGAATGGGAGATTATTTTAATTTAATTTCACCACAGTTTACTGCTCAATGAATAAAGACTTAAAATTTTAATATGTGCGCCAGAACAACATGGTATATATGGTATATATATATAAGAACTGTCGTAAATGAGATATTGGCAATAACCCAGTAGTTAAAGGGATACTCCAGTCACCCAGACCACTTCTCCCCATTGGAGTGGTCTGGGTGCCATCTCCCACTACTCTTAACCCTGCAAGTGTAATTATTGCAGTTTTTTTATAAACTGCAATAATTACCTTGCAGGGTTAAGTCCTCCACTAGTGTCTGTCTACTAGACAGCCACTAGAGGGCACTTCCTGGTCGATAGTACAGAGAACCTGTGCTAGAGCGTCGCTGGACGTCCTCACGCTGTGTGAGGACCTCCAGCAACGCTCATTTCCCCATAGGAAACATTGAAAAGCATGTTCAATGCTTTCCTATGGGAGAGCTCTAATGCGCATGGGCAGCATTGCCGGCATGCGCATTAGGTCTCCCCGGATCAGTCTCGCCCAGCGGCCGACGCAATCACTGGGAGGAGCGGCGGCGGAGGAAGAAGCAGCGACGTGGGACATGTCGCTGCCTCTGGTAAGTAACTGAAGGGGTTTTCACCCCTGCAGAAACCGGGGATTGGGGGGTGGGAGGGAGAGGAAGAGGGAACCTGCAGTGCCAAGAAAACTGATTGTTTTCCTTGCACTGGAGTTTCCCTTTAATGAAAAGTTAACGGGTAGTGCTTTTTTCTTTTATGATGTACATGATAAACCAGCGTACCATGTAAATTAATTTAGAAACTGCAGTAGAACATGCACAAATACCTGAGTGTTTGTGCTGTCATGGGACATGTTTCTGTAGACTTGGATTTAGAGTTGATAAGTCCAAGATGACAAAGAGGTCCTGGGGAGGTAAGTGTGTTTTTACTTACCTCCCTATAACAACAGCACCGTATGGAGAGACAACATAAGAAAGATAGCGCCACTAGGTGCAAATACTCTCAGGCACTCCCTCGAGTGCCCAAACAACTATAACTTTACTTACCTCCCTTTCATTGCTAGCGCTTGCTAAGGATTATAGGAATGGAGTGACTGACATCCCTCTGTTCAGAGGCCATTATGCTGGCAATGAACTGCAACCATAGTTGTTTATTGTGCATAATGCAAGACTCCCGACAGTCTCAGCTGGGACAGTCGCAATCTTGGCCTCCTGTCCAGCTGTCACAGGATTGTTTCCTTGTGTCTCTAGAAGAGCTTGGTTTATTAGACACACTCGCACTGTGCTGGCTACATACATTAATCCAGTGTTCATTTTGTTGAAAACTAATTTTAGTCAAATTTTAGTCGACTAAAATTTTTGAGATTTAGTCGACTAAAATTAGACTAAAAGTAAAACAATTCAGATGACTAAAACACGACTAAAACTAAAATGGCTTTTTAGTCAAAAGACTATGACTAAAACTAAAATTGACATTTTCCACCAAAATGAACACTGCACAGAGGGGCCGTGGAAAGGGCAAAAGATACAGACCAGGGCTTGGGTGAGAGACACCTAGAGGGGCTGGGGAACACAAAGAGACACAGAGGGGCTGGGGAGGGGGCAAAAGAGACAGACCAGGACTTGAAAGAGAGACACCTAGAGGGGCTGGGGGACACAAAGAGACACAGAGAGGCTGGGGAAGGGGCAAAAGAGAAGGACCCGGGCTTTGGAGAGAGACACCTAGAGGGGCTGGGAGGACACAAAGAGACACAGAGGGGCTGGGGAAGGGGCAAAAGAGACAGAGACTTTTTACTAAACCCATTAGATTTTAGTTGTGTCAACTAAAGTCTACTGGAGATTTAGTCGACTAATACTAGACAAAACCTAAAAGAATGCAGATGACTAAAATACAACTAAAACTAAAATAGCTTTTTAGTCAAAAGACTATGATTAAAACTAAACTGAAATTTGCCGCCAAAATTAACACTGCATTAATCCCATGGGCAGAGAGCTTTGAGAGCGTTCTAAGTACCGACTGGACATAATGGATGCCATTCAGCTCCCGTCAGCTTTGAGTTCATTACAACTCCTACATCATATGGGTTAAAATTAAATACACAGCCAGGATTATTTACTAAAGCGTAAATTGTTAAGAATTCGAAATTAATTTCAAATTTTAGGCAAAAAAAAACTGAACTGGGAAAATCATCTTCTGTTTATTCCAGTTGAAATATTTAAATTCTCTTTTAATTCCCAACAATTCTCACTTTGGTAAATGACCCATGAAGTTTGATTCAAACTGAGTATACTGGGTAGATGTCACTCACCTGCACAATCTGAGATTTAAACTAATATAAAATAACAATCAGGAGAACGCAAATCCAAGTCTTTGTTGTGTTCCACCCATGGAGACAATACATAGGATGAATGTATAATCTTATGAATCATATAATTGCAAAAGCAAAATATTAGGACAGTCAATTCAATTTTCCAACACCTGTTAGTACATAATAACCCCTCGAGGCAACAGACACAGACAAACCGAGAGCATCTGGCATCAATTACTGTACGGAAAACACAAACAGTCTTTTCCGAAGCTATTATTGACATTATGTTGTAGAAAGATCTCCCCATATTCAAAATTATAATTAGACCCTAAGTTTCTAATACAAAAAGATATGTATTCTAAGAGGTCTCATAATCTCACATGGAGTTTATTGTATAGCTCCCAAGAAGGTCTGAATTCTGAAATGGTGAGCGCCATTGAGGTGGTCCCACCAGAAAATTGTATGGCAGGTTGACTGGCTTCTGTGGTAGCTGTCTCCACTCGTGGATGGTCTTAAATGGACTTTGTCTCTGGTGTACCCAGAAATAGGACAATATTTATAAAAAGGATTGGGAAACAGGATCAAGAATTTCAAAACAGGACCTAAGGGTTTCATAGGTAAACTTGGCTGAAAAATTGGAGAATTGACTCAGTAAATTTAAATTGTAGATCATAAAAGTCTTGTTTGAATTTTCTTTCATTATTATAGTAGTGTTTACTATGCGATCATACTTTAGTTGCCATTCCCACTGTTTTTTGCATTTCATTTTTTAACGTTTTAACAGAAATCGTGAGACGCAAAGCAAATGGGGCAAAAAATTTTTGGCAAATGTTTCCAATTAGTCAATTGTGGCCTATAATTCAGAAATTGGATGCCATTTCACTTCTGTTTCTGGTATAATTAGTTACGCTGATGTTTTCCTCAATTGTTATGGAGGAAATTGTTATGGAAATGTTGCATGCTACGCCGTTATTTAAATACACTTTATATTTCTATAGAGTAATAGAAATTAATTTATTTTCTTCAGGTGATCATGTAGTACAGGAATGTACCCAGAAAGGCCAACAATTTGGACAAGAAAGTAAGTATAAATAAACTACATTGCACAAATGCAGGAGAAATATATTTATATCCAAATGCATCTTCCACGGGTAGCACTGGCACCAATAGATATGATGGCCTGGAGTTTGTGAATTTTATGGGGCAAATTTGGGATACGTCCAGTTTTCAGACTTGACCGCTTGATTTGCTGATCAAATATAGTGAATAGAAGAAGACATTTCTCAAAAGTAAATATTAGCCCCGATATGAAGGTGTGTCAGTTTTGTTTTTCTAACGTGCTAGTATTTATGGCCAAATCAGTGACATTCCCATTTTAGTTTCCAAAGATGCAATTTTAAACTTGTCTCAAATTTGAGACTGTTAAGCAAGCCACCTATTCAGAACAGCTCCAAGAAAAAGTATACATTTTTCAAAATTGTCAAATCAAGGACAATTTAGCATGGCATTTTAAGAAAGTGCATATTATCAAGAATTCAAATTAAAAGAACAGTATAGGAACCCAAACCACTTCATGTCTGCGGAGTGGACATGGTGCCATGTTCAACTAGTTTTTACCCTGTAACTGAGGACCTTCAGCAGAAATAGCAAACTTTTCATTGCTGGGTTAACATGCCTCTAGCGACGGTCACACTTAAACTCAGCTATATCAATCAGATTGTCTCATAGAGACCATTTGATGGGCGCAGCATCCGCTAGCCTTCAAGTGTTTCCCTACGTGGTAACATTGGTTTGGTTGATGATCTCAGCCAATAAGGAGAAATGCAATCGTGGAGACCGACGGCTAAAAGGTAAGTACTATCCACCTCTCATCCCTCACATGGCGGTGGGGGACACTACAGTAGTTAGCAGGTCACTATAGCATTATGAACACATCTTCATATTGTTTCATATAATTCCAAATTGTAGACCTAAATGGAGATCCTGGAAAATGTATCAAGTTAGCCATGTTTTCAGTTCATCTGTTCTAGCGTTAGATTTCAAATCGCAATTCTTTTCTCAATTCCTGAATTGTTCACATACATCTCGTAGTGACTGTGAATGTTGTGTAAAGTGCATTCGCACCAGTATAATAATCTTCCCACTGATTGTAATCAGTTACATACCTGGAGTACAGTCATGACCCACATATATTGGTCCCTTTACTACAGCCATCTCATTGATGCGATCTACATGCCCATCAATTAAATGACTTCAGTAAATGTATATGCTCAAAAAATTATGCATTTTAAAATTTTATTTAACACTAATATCAAATTCCTACTCTATATAACAGCCTATTGGAATGGTAGATATATGGAATAAAGAATTGAAAATGGATCCAGTTACTATATATGCAAGAATAGGAGCAAATGCATATATTGGGATTTTTTTTTATCAATTATATTCTAGATTAGAGTGATGGAGGCAGATGAGTTCTTGACCCTCATTGATGCTGGTGATTAAGTTGGGGAACCCAGGATGTGTGTTTTGGATGGCATAGCTCGTTTCATTGCTCCTCTTTGGCAAGGTTTGTATTATAGACAGCAGGACTGATGTCTTCACCAACTGGAATACAGAAAAAAAAAACTCAGAGAACCGTAGCAGCAAAAGTCCCGATCTCCTACTACTAAACCGCTAGGGAACATGTGGCAAAGTGACAGATTGCATGCCTCCAGTGTTGGGATGCTGAAACGTGTTGGAATACCATTCCTTGTGAGAACTCCTCAAGGTTTTTAGTAGCTCTCACACTTGCTGCTATTTGCACAGGAAACATAAAATTAAACCGTGTACATTTCCTTTTTGTAACAGCTTACAGTTCCCCCTACAAATTCAGCCAATGTGTTTTACTTGAATAAGGTACTAGATCTAATATGTGTGTGTTTGTTTTTTGTCAAGTTGTCGACCAAGGATGTCAGGCCGCTCAGAAGACCTGTGACCAAGTGACTGACCAAGTGACTGATCAAGTGACTACGCAGGTTAAAGACAAGCTTCCAGGAGGAATATGGAAATAGACTTCATTATAGCTGTCACCATAACCTTTTTAATAACATCTGAAATATAAGCTATCTTGACTTACTAATGTTGCCTCTGTGTTTACCATTCATAAACATTTATCCTGTAGAGAATCTCTGTATAGAGAAACATATTAGACTGCTTTACCTGGCCAGAGCACATGCACACTCTCTGAGCCTCGTAGGGGAGGGAAGGGGGTGGATGGAGGCAGGGGACCTTGTTTTAGTGGCTTTTTTTGTTTTTAACAGGAGGGAGACGGGGGCACCCATAAGGATGGAGGGAACACTAGAGGTTCTCCTTACAGACACTACATAGAAGGGAGAAGCTCATTAGGTCTGTTGCCAGCGCACTGACGCAGACATACTTGTGGCACAGAATTTGGGAGGATTGAGGGCAAATTGTTTTGTGAGACCTTTTAGATATATTACTGCCTGACTAACCGTTTGTGCTGTTCAAATAGACACAGTGAGTAAATGTGCTAGTTACAAATTCGCTTTGAATTCTCAATGTAGTAAAATGTGTTAGAAGCATATCAAGATAGTAAGAACTAAATACAAAAAAAATATGCAACATTTTCAAAATATTTGTAAATATGCATTTATACTGGATATTACAAGTTTTAGGACATTAAAGACTGAGGGAATTACAGTATGTTCAATACGGGTACTTGGCTTTTACCAGGCTATTCTAATAGAAAATATATTATACATTATTAATGCCCCAAACACTATGTATTCCACTACCTGAAGCCCTGCAACAGGGGATGGGGGACTTTTCAATTAGTCCTGCTGTTAAAAATAGTGCAAAGATTTGGAGAGTCACCTTTAGAATGACCCTGCTTGTTCCACTGGTTTCTGCAGTGATTACACACTTAAAATATTTTTGCACAATTTTCAGAACACCAACACATTTATAAAGCTTCCTCGAAGGGTCAGGAACATGACTAGTAACCATATAATGGTTTTCAACAACCACTGAAACCATATTTTGGGGTGAGGCATGGAAATGAAGTCTGTGTAAGACTTCAGGGTGTGTCACAGACAAGTTACCACAGATCTGTACAACATGGGCAAAGGATAATTACAAACGCACAACAGACAGTCAGTGATCTATTATTTCAGCTATAGAAAGATCAACACGTTTCTTAAAGTTAGGTGGGGTCACTTTATTAGTCAGCTTTTGGTTGTATTGTGGTTAGCAGTTGTTATACCCAGACGTGTTTCTTGCATAGGTTGGGAGCAGCAGTTCTCCTGTCCATTTTTTTCATGCATACATAGTGTTTCATAAATGGCAGTAAAACGCAAAATCTTCTGCAGTTATAGTCCCCTCAATCGCTCGAATAGGCCACAAGAGAAGCTATGCCTTCGCAAAGTTAAAATGCCAGTAGTGCTGAACCATCGACCCTATACATGCTGGGCATCAGGGTTTATGAGATTTACCTACAGGATTATATATCCTAAAGGGAGAATTCAAAGTTAATTTAAAATTCAAGGCTACAATAGCCAAGTTCACAAAAAAAAAAAAAAAAAAACTTTGGCCTTAAATGTAAGAGTCACTTTAGTAAATAAGTCCAACGGTTCTCCAAAGGAATCTAAATGGCTGAAATAGTGTATGGAACTTTATGGGGTTAACACAACTTACTGAAGCAGCTTTAAGTTCTGAACTTTTATACTTTAGTGCAGGCTTCCCCAAACTCCAGATGTTGCTGAACTACAACTCCCATGATTCTCAGCCTATTTCATTCATAGAATCATGGGAGTTGCAGTTCAGCATCTGCCACGAGCTCTGATCCGGCGGGCAGAACCCGGGGTAAAAGCGACGGCTAACAAGCCCACAAAAATCAGAGGGTGCACCACCCACGCTGGGGGTGCCCCACTGAGTAATCAGACACCACCCCGGTACCTGTCGACGCTGGGAAAGCGGAATTCCACATGCGGCCTACTGGGGCTGAAGCAGGGGGGAGGCGGCCGCTCCCCTCGGCGCAAGAACCCACAAGCTACTACAACTCAGCATACCCCCCCCCCTATGGACCGGTGGGGGACATCCCGGTCCCCAAAGCATATACAGACCAGCATGGAACAAGACCACACCAACCACACCAAATGGTGGGGCAACAGACCGAAGAGGTACAAACAAAATGGCCGACCAACCTGCGTAGAGCAGGCGGAGCACCTGCACAAGGGCACATATGTCCCCTATGACAATATTTGACCGGACCTGCGCTGGTCTCAGGGCAGCACTGCGAAACCGGGGAGCAACTCACCGCCAAGCTGACCGGAAGGTGGCCTCATGGTTGCGGCCAACAGCGCGACGCAGGCACTACATACCGGTACCCCAAGCATCCAAGATGGCCGTCAGGCAAAACCGATACCGAAAGGCATCGAGAAGGGACACACGCTCTCACCCGCCCACAAGCAAAGCCAAGATCTCCAATCCAACAACGACGCACACTACTAAAATATCTGACCTAAATCCCGGTTACCAGCACAACACCAAGCGCCACCCCTCAACCAATACTGCAACTCAAGGGAAGGGGAAACGGCACACCACAAAGAGACGGCCTGGAGCTCAACCCCGAAATAGAGCCAACGGGCCCCGCGAATGCTATGACGTGGAGAATAGCAACAGCCGGCTGATCATACCAGCGCTGGGCATAGGATGAAGTGCCTACCACACTGCCTCAAACGGGTGAAGGGAATGTTGGGAGCACACGATCCAGCTAAGCACCCGGACCCTGAAGCATAACTCAAGCCACGAATGGACTAAGCTCATAAGATCTCATGGACTGGTGGTAATAACACTAAAACCTTAGGGGGAAAAAAAAGTTCCTGATAGTCCTATGGACACTGAAAATTGATAAATCAGTTAATACCCAAGCTTAAAAAACGTAAGGATGCTACTTTGAGTGCTAGGCTGAACATAGCAATGTGCCACAGGGCAATCGTGTCTGGAAAGAATAAAGATATTAGGGTATAATATAGGCAAATGATAGCAATGTTTTATATTAAGATGCTTCATCACATAAATACCCACAGCATAAAGTTTATATGCACTACGTCATAACTAGATACTGCTCTGCTACAAAACATGCTCACACTATATCGATTCTAGCATAAGCGAACAAGCACAGTTAAGCACCTAGCATCTTTATCTTACTCTTCCTTACTCTATCTCATTTAAACCTACAATGATGTAACAGTTTAGTTAAGCTTGCAAAACATACAAAAATGTGCAAATTGTCATGCCACTGTCTCTTTTATGAAGCTTGAAATACGCTGTTGTGGCGTCCGTTGAAATCTTGTAACCATCTGCACAACCCAAAATAAAGAATAAAAAAAATAAGTGAATTTCAAATTTAAGGAAAAAGCAGCTAAATTGAAAGCATAGCTGACTAGTGAATTTTTCCAGATCAACTATTGGACCTTAAAATTTGAAACTCCCCTTGAATTCTCATTTTAGTGAATAACAATATACACGAATTTGTAATGAGGTCATCAAAATGGACATGTCGGCAAAACAAGTGTATCCATACAATATTTTTCACCAGTTTCAAACAAGTTGCATCCTTGTTTAGCCCTGTATACAATAAACTAATCTGGTTCACCTTACGCTGTGCAGCCTGTAGCTCTTCAGGTGTGGATGTATTTGGAGGTTAGCAGAGTTCCGATGCTACCGATACCGGTGAGCAACACTTTTTATTTACTATTGGAGATGAGCATATTACAGGCATCGGTTGTGAATTCATGGGGGACCCAAGCAGATTTGTTTTACAGTAATAAAGATGGTGTTCAATGGGCTCTGCAGAATTCAATATTGTGCCCTTGTTCTGTCCTGTATTCCACAAAGAAACTATCTCCGGTTTACCCCAGATTTAACAAGAGGAACACTCCAAGCACCATAAACATTACAGCACACTATAGTGGTTGTGGTGCCATTAGTGCCCTAGTGTGTATAGTCTGTATGTGCAACATTCACATATCATTAACCAAAGAGTAACTCTATAACCCTGCAGCCAACAGTTCTGGTACCTGGCATGTCTCTAACCAGTGTTGACTTCGTGATGTGCAGTTTACCTATCTGAACGGGAAGCAAAGAAATGACACCATTTTTGGAAAGGAGGACTTTTAATGTCATATTTGATCACTTTCTCAATTCATGCGGTTACAAAGTTAGTAACAAAAAAGAAAGTATACATTTCATATGCGCTGCAACTCCTAAGATCTGCAATACATCTCCTTGGAACTATAGTGGAACAGTATTGTAAAAACGGTTCTTGCGAGGCCTTGAGAGCTAAAAAAATATTTGGACAAATATATATTTGAGTATTACTAGCTGTACATTTATGCAAGTGGTTTCAGTGAACAGAAGCATAAGACAGGATAACTACTATATGAAACGGCTGGACAGGGAGGGGGGTTTGAAAAAAATGCATAGAGTTTTAAAAACTTTGCATCATTAGGCCACCTTAAAATGTCTAAAAATGTAAGGACATGAAGATTACCTGTATATGGCATCAGTTGGAGATTAATATATGCTGTAGAAACAGATGTGTGCAGACTAGTTTAAAAAGTATAACCTTATGAAAATGTTACGGCTAACACTGCAGCCTGAAGGATAATTAAGAAGGCTGACTAATGAGATATGAAGTTGTTCAATAAAGTTGCAGACGATTGAATAAAGGACAAATAAAGGCGATGGCAGAAGCCACTGTGGACTAAAGGAAGTTACACTCTACTCTAAGCCATACTTTCCCTTTAAGATATAGCCCAGTTAACAAAAACACAATCATGTCTAGTAGTAGGACATTATCGAGAACTATATGCTTAATACAGTTCAGTATTTACAACTGGCAAATTAGTCCTAACTGATAATGAAGCCTACGTTCGCACATGGTTCAGCAGCAAGTGTAAAAAAAAAAACATGGCCTGCAGAGGTTTATGTGCAAAACGTCATTCCATGACGCTCCTGAAACGCTCCACTCGAGGCCTGCCCCACTCTACTCAACATGAAGACTGCAGTAAAAGAAACTCACTCCGTATGTTACATAAGTGACAGCGGATAATATAGCGGCCGCTCAAACCACTCTGCCAAGCCTATGAAATATTCAGAACGTCTGGTTTTAATGTCCAAATTAAAACAGATATGTCGTACAGTATACAGAACATTGTAACTCCAGAGAACAAAACAATCTAACCCAACATTTTGTAATCCTACACAAGGTACATATTTTGTAACCAGAGAAACATCAGCAATTTAAAAAAAAAAACAAATCTATTTGGCCAAATTTAGTAGCGGTTACTTCAATAACCAAGCAAGTCACTGCATTATCAATGACTGCTCCTTGACTGACACAAGAAAAGAAGTCTGCTAGTACCCAAACAAACTCAGCAGGTCCTCTGATAGACTTAAAATGGGTTTCAAGTTACTTGGGTTCTTGTACACCAAATAGTGTATGGAAAAGAAAAAAGGGACGGAAGCATTTGTGTCCTCAGTCATACGTGAGGAAAAATCTAAACAAAACAGAAATTGATAAGTCTGTGGTTACATGTAAACGTATATATATTTTAAAAAAGGGATGGCAAAAGGGGAGCGGTCCAGTAGATTTCATCATCTATGTGAAGGTCAGACCAGCCTCATTGTACACCTTGAATACTTTCTCGATGGCGTTGACATAGGCAGCGGTTCTCAGATCCAAGCCCAAGTTGTACTTCATTGCAGTGCGCATGATTTGCTGCAAGAGAAGATTGAGAATATGGTCAGTTTTTATTCAAATAAATTATAAAATTGTGGACTACGTATGTGGGAGAAGTCTTCCTGGGAGTGCCTTATAGGGGCCACATACTATCCTACGGGCATCGAATAGACAGGTGGCAGAATAGCAAGTTTAGCACCAGCAGGACTTTAGGAATAATAAAACTATCTGAACTATAGATGCTTTGGCACATTAGTCTAAATAATATTCACTAAACTTCATTCCGACCTTATTTAATTGCCATTTCCTGTCCTGTTGTGTTTTATACGCCACTTCCTATAGACTGTAAGCTCGTTTGAGCAGGGCCCTCTTCAACCTATCGTTCCTGTAAGTTTTCGTATAATTGTCCTATTTATAGTTAAATCCCCCCTCTCATAATATTGTAAAGCGTTACGGAATCTGATGCCTTTATATAATTTGCAACAACAAACAAACATGTCTTCCTTCTCCAATTGCTACTTGACAGCTTTTACTCAATGAGCCAAGTCTGAAAAGTGGGGAGATGTCTTTCAGTCCAACCACATGATACAGATTAATGACCAGAGACCCAGGAGACCTATACTGTGACAGTAAATACCAGTGCTGGGAGGAAAGTGCATTTTGAGAGGTTATTATGCAAGACGAGAGAAAGAAAATGGGGATAAGATAATAAATAAAATTAATACATACTGTTCTTTTGTATGCATACAAAGGAAAATACCAATGAAACTGCCCATTGAAATAGCAAATAAAGTTTTATATAATCGATTAATAGTGCTATTTAAATCTTGCAGCTACATAAAACTCAATGGTGTTTTCTGTAAACTCTGATCTAATGGAAACTATCCCTTAAACCTGCGGCTGCACGAGCAAGACATTATGGGGAAGATGGTGCCAGGCACAGGGCATGCTAGAGGCAATGGTCTCCTGGAACACTCAGCAGATCACATGTTAGAGGATTCTCATACCGAGAGGAGACTTCCTAAAAACAGCCTATTTGCTATAGGGAGGAGAAGTTACAGTTAACGTTTGCCTTTTGCTTCTATTGACTTATTAAACATAATAGAGCCCTCCAATAATCGTGTAGTCCAGGGGATAGGTGTACTTCGATGCAAGGTCTTCCAGTATGGCCACATCATAGATACCCAACATTTTATTCTAGTTTTGGCAATACAATGGATAACACAGATTTGGCAATGGGGATTATTCACTAAACAAACTGTAGCAACTGAAAACCGAACTGCAGAAACAGTCTCAAAGATAGCCAAGCTGTAATTACAGTAAAAACCATTTATTTTTCTTCAGTGACTATTTTGGCCTGGACTCTGCAATTTAAGTTTTCAGGTCTCTACAATTTTACAGCAAAGAAGATTAAGGGTTTAGAATGTATTGACATTACGAAGAAATGAAATCTTACTCTAGCAGATCGCTCCATGGTGTATGCCAGACCCGAATGGACAATGTCTTTCTCAGACGCACCCTGCAAAATAGGACGAGAAATGCGTAAGGCAAGTATATAAAAAAAATAAACGTTTTAACCAGATTGTTTTCATGGAACATCTTTCTAGATTTCCATCTGCAGTCCAACAAAGCCACAAGTCCAATCATTACTGATACACAAACAAGCTGGAAATATACATAGATTATAAAACCAGACACTTTTAAAATAGGATTTGTATCTAAAATATATTGAAGTCCGAAGATTATTCAGCATGAAAGGAATTTGAGGCTGTATATTCAAATGTTTACATTTCTGGTGAATTAGTTCAATAAAAGCAGCTCCAATAAAACATTTCATACAGATAAGATCTTTTTAAATACTCAAAGCTTACGCAGGAATTTGATTGAAATTCCAATACAGTCAAACAGTTAAGGGACAACTTTGTAGTCTTCCACTTGAAAAGTTTGATAAAAAGCAGGAGCTACCACTGGCAAACAGGTTTTGTCTCTTCCTCCGGCCGACACTAGTCGTAATAATTTATAACTAGTGGTAATAATCCATTATCTTGCTCATGGCAAGAGATTTATGGAGCCTGCATTGGTCTCGCTGACGTGGGCTCCTTTCAGGTGAAGTGCCAGGAGACAGACAAGTATAACTCAAATGCACTGCACCCCAGGAACACAAATGTCACCATCAGTGGTCTTTGTAAAATATGCAGTTAATTGAAAATTGACTTTTTCACAGAAGAAAAAGGTCTAAAACAAAGTTCAGAAAAAGACCAATTTGCTCTGCAAGTCTATGGACACACAATGAGTACCTTTAAAGGAACACAAACATGTATTCCTGACACTATAATTGTAAGAACCGTTTTGGTGTCCGGCTCCCCTTGCCTGCCTTTAAAAAAAAAAAAAAAGGTAATTTATTCACTTTATTTCCAGCACAGCACCGATCTCGTTATGGCTGGCTCTGCCACACCTCCTTGGCAGAGATTAAAGTTGCTGTGCTAAGCCAAGTCAATGCTTTCCCATAGGTAAGCATTGGCAGGCTATTGCCCAATGTGCAGCAAGACTCCACACTGCACCAATTAGCATCTCCTCATAGAGATGCATTGAATCAAGATCTCTCTTTGGGAGCGTTTAGAGTCTCCATGCAGAGTGTGGAGACTGAACGTACGTTCTCTGAAAAGGCAGTGTTTACATTAAAAAGCCTGTAAGGACTGACTCTAGACACCAGAACTACATTGAGTGACAATTGTTCTGGTGACTATAGTGTCTCTAAATTGTTCGCCAAATATTACCAATTAAACTGGAGGAAGTTCACCTTGCAATAATTTCAGATTATATTATTCTAAATATGAAATCTTCATCTAATTCCAAATACGAAAATTTATAGCAACCACCATGAACAAGTCTTTCAAATCTGATTAAAATTAAGTCTGACTAGTGGTTTATATCAAGTCCTCTCTTCAGGCATATAATGAGAAACAAAAATGTTAATTATTCTGAGTTGCCTCTCTGCATTGCTTTAATCACCTAAATTGTGTTGGCCAGGAGTCAATGGCTTCATGTCTACATGTTTTTGGCTGAAGGGCAGCCATATGGTTGTTTTAATGCAGATAGCATCAGCATTCTACACAAATATTTTATTTTCGCTTGAAATATTGTTTGTTGCAGATCGAATTAACACAACAGGCTTTACTTCCAATTGAATAATCTGGAAGATGCTCAGTTTAGACAAACATGCCTATTATGGGTATTCACAAAGCACTGGATTAAATGAAGTCTCAATTTTCAAAATTTGATACAAAATAGATGTTAAAGCCTCTGGATGGACCCTTACAGATTTAGATCCTAATTCACATGAAGTGGCAGGATGAAAAACAAAGCTGGTATTCCCAATACTGATGCTGTTTTTTTTTTTGTTTTTTTTTCTGTTTTTATTCTCCCTTTTCTCTCCACCAAATGCTGCTTCTTAACACTATGCTCTTCCCAAACCCGCACAATACTGGCTCCGTAAGCTTTCATAATAATAATACGCATTGGGCCACTTTCACCCCCCCCTCTCCTAACAACCAGAGTGCGTTACACAGCTCGAAATATACCGCACACTACCTGCTGCACTCTTAGCTAGCAACTTAGTTGACCACACCCAGCTAAGACACACATACCTACCCAAGCTCACCTAACTAAGGTCCCACGCTCAACACTGGCACATTCAGAGGTGCCTTAATACCTACTACAAGTTATACCTTGACACAAAGCAGGCAGGCACCTAACGCTACACAATGCCTTTAATACACATTATTTAAAAAATAAAAACGAGGCCGACAAGTTTCGGAGATGTTGTATGGTAAACTGTGATACCCCATCCTGTATGACTTTTATTGTCTCCCTTTCTTTATTCTGTACCCGTAAAGTCTATGCCTCAATAAAAGAAAAAAAAAAAAAAAAAAAAAAAAAACAAAGCTGGTGAATTGTCAAGTTAAGCATTCCACCCATCGCCAGGTCACAGATCATACGATACATATTGTAGAGAACAGCCTACTTACAGATATCCTGGCCTGGAATTCAGCAGTTGGCACAACTGCAATAGCACCACCATGTTTCCCAAATTTCCTTTCTAGACTTTCTTGTACAGACACTAAAAATAAAAAGAGAAGTTAGAACACTGCTGGGACACATAGAAGGCTAGTGCAAAAAGCCCAGATAGGAGTTTAGTACTTACTTAGTAAGTGGTAGTTTGAGTCACGTTCATACTTGAAGGTCAAACGTCCATAACTAACATGATTAAGGTTTTTCAGCCACTCAAAGTAAGACACGGTTACACCCCCGGCATTCAAATACAGATCCTAAACAGAAACTTGTGTGTCACAAACTGCAAAGGGAATCATTTCTGTAAACAGTGCCACCTAGTGTACATCGTGGGAGGGGGAACAAACAGTTATCAGATATTGTGTGTCACACTGCATCCTCTGGACAGCCCTTTGCCTTTCCACAGTGACTCATGTCCAGGCTTCTCATTTCATTTTCATGTTAAAAAAGGGCCACATTCATTTCCAATCATTGGGCTCCAGGTCACTTTAGAATAATTTGTTTACAAACACTGATCCATCCATAGCATATTTTTTAGTCCACACTTTGTAACATTTTATGCTATAATTTTTGTGAACCACCACAGGTTAATACAACAATCTTTGGTTCATTGATTACCCCATGTGTACAGTTTTAGTTTCATTAACATGATCATGCTTAAGGGGAGGAGGGGGTGGGGAGGGAAGGGATAATGGACAGATCTCCCTGATTGGTTTAAATTATTAGGTATATCAATATGCCAAGAAAAAAAACCAAACAGGTTTTGAAGGAATTCGTAAGAAGTGTTGCTGAAACATCGGCAGTGTATGTTATACAGGTGCACATGAGCGAGGGAAAGGTTTCTACATGCATTCAAGGAAAACATATCTAGAAATCCAAGCCCTGAGTTACTTTCTAAACATAGCCTGTGTACAAGCATGTGTGGTCATTTGCAGACCGCTATTTATAAAACTGCATATTTGGCAACCTCTCTGTTTGGCGATGTTCCCACCTCGTGCAATAAAGGCCGTGTCACCACTAGTGACATCAGCACACAACTGCACAGTGCACAGAAAAATACACAGCACCACATCCAGTAAACCTGAAGGCAGCTACTTTATAGCGCACTTTTTTTGGAGGCTTTCCTTTTTTGAAGCTGCTACAACACATCCACATGGTCCTAGTGATAATGCAGCACTTGGTATCACAGCGTGCACAGTGACACATCACTAACCGTCAAGGTACCTTGCAATGCCCAACATCTTCTGTAGTTAAGGGGTTAAAACTGCCAATGAATCGTGCATTTTGGAAGTTTACCCAAAACGTTCATGAATTATTTTTGATAAAAGAACGGCAAGTGCATTTGTCATAATACACGGCCAAAACCCTAATTTCCAAACCCAAATTAATGCCAAGGTGGTTGTTTCATTGTATTAGAAATAAAGCTTCCAAACAGCATACGCATTATGTGCTGGCAATTGTTGGCCTCTAATAGCTTCCCTATAGGACCACACAGAGCTGCACTACAACAACATACATCTCCTCTCATTACCAAGTTGGAAAAAAATTACAATGTCCTTAATATGGGATGAAGAACACCATGTGCAGTACTTTATTACGTTACATGTTCCAAAACACTTATTTGGTGAACCCATATTCTTTCAATTGTTACAAAAAAAATAAAAAATTCATACAAAGGTTGTCAACAAAAGTGCACCTGTCATGAAGTTGGCACTAGTAGAATGTAAATGAAAGCCTTGGTGGCACTGCAAACTCAAGTGCCATTTAGCTGACAAATCATAGGAGTTGTAGCCATTGCCGGACCTCGGGGATTCTCTTTTTTGGGCAGTGCTTCACATTGTGAGTCATATGTAAAGTACAATTCACGTGTTAACGTTGGGAGCCAAGAACTTACTGGAATGACCATGATGTTCCTTTCAAGGAAGATTTTATCAGCTTCTGGCGTTGTAGGACCGTTCGCACCTTCGGCAATAATCTGCATCAAATCAGAGGCACGTGTTAGTAATTCATAAACTTCATTAACTGCAAGTCAAGTTAATATCCAAGAGAAACCAGTCACCTTGGCTTTTATCCTATGTGCATTCGACTTTGTGAGTTGCTTCTCACTGGCAGCTGGGATGAGAATGTCGCACTCTGCCTCGAGAATGTTTCCATCATATGGCTGGGCCTTCGGGAATCCCACTATTGTTCCGTGTTGCTGTTTCAAAGATACACATGTGAGAATTTAAAGACACACCACTACTCCTACTCTACAGCAGAATAAAAAGGAAAATTAAATAAAAAAATTTTATTTATTTTTTTAAATATGAGTACGGTCAGGACAGCACCAACTTTTCAATGGAGTGTGCCGCCCATTCAGCTCAGTTTGTATAGAGCAAGAACCATGTAAAAACATTTCAAGCTCTTCGGTTTATTTCACTGGGAAGGCAATATCGGCTGGACTCTTGCTATTTACTGACCGTATGGATTTCCAGTATGATGCCACTTTTTATATGAAGCATTCAAATGTGCAGAATTACATGGAAATACTCTATGGAAAGGTAGTGAATTAAAAGAAGCCTGATAGCAATTTCATTATAGTGGTCTAGGGGTCCCGGTCCTCTGAATCCTGCATTGTTTACATTTCAGGGTTAAGGCCACCTCTACTGGCTGTCAAAACTCAGCGACGTGACAAGGAAGCCTCTTTCCTATGGGGAATTATAAATGCATATGCATCAGTTGCTGTGCATTAGGAAGCCAAAACTCTCTATACGGAGGACATTGGATACTTAGAATTGTGTTCCCAACACTATGTAGTGATCCTTAAAGCAGGGAAGTGTCCGCTCGCTTGTCAAGAATAAAAGTAACAAACCACTACACATCTCCCACGGCTTACCAGTTTGTAGTCTTCAAGTTCTTTAGGGTCAATACCATTTGGATTCCAGATGGTACCATCAATCTCACCAATGCCAACACATTTGGCACCAAAACGGTGGAGATAACGCATGGAATGCAGACCAACATTACCAAATCCCTGTTTAAGTAAAATAGGAATACATTTACATTTTATAGCAATACTTACATCACAACACAATGGGTGGGCATGATGGAAATAGACATGGGTTTGCTACGGGCAAATGCAAATATTGTATTTCTCAAACTGTGTACTTTGTCTTTAAGCGATATTGCAAACTGATAAGTGTTAGAAATGGAACATTGTTTTTCATACATGTTTCTTTAAGCAATAACCTTATACCTACGTTCAGTGCATAAGGTTTACGCCAGTTTGTCCCAGACGAAATACTAATGTATAAACAAGCTTCAAGGCTATGCTACGACTCTTTCAGTACATAATATACTGTGGTAACCCTAAATAGATAAAGATGTACAGACTTTAAGATGCCATCTTGTCCTAAGTCAGGGAATTTCCCATGACGTGTGCACCCTTACGTTTTAGTTATGGCCTTAATTTTTTGCCAAGTTAAGGGAGGTCCTAAAATGAAGTAAAAAGTTACTTTTTCATATATGAACTACAGTAATCCTAAAATGAAGACACTTAAGGTATAAATATGTGTGCCTTTTAAGTGTTAGAGAGGAGAGATTTGGAGACAGACGCTCCACCTTCTAATGACAGAGAGGCTGACATGACATGTTAAGGAGGGTATGTTAATCTATTAATGATATTTGCAAGCATTTAGTTTAATCTTATAAACTCTGCTATAAATTGTAATGGATTTTATATGTCTTTATATTTTTATATAATAAATATCTAAAAGACAAAACTTTATTGCTTCAAAGACAATCCTTATGAAGTGTTCTTGCATAGCAAGACCACTTAATGTTATCTCACATATATATTATTATTATTATTAAGTGTTCTTGCATAGCAAGACCACTTAATGTTATCACATATATATTATTATTATTATTATAGCAAAATTTGCCACCCTAACTCCTCCCACAGTTTTTACACTACATAGACCAAAATTTACCAAAACGTGCCCACCTACACAAATCTTATATCAAAACGTTCAGCTATCCCTGCTGCCACTAAACATGTCAACGGCTAAGCCGTAGTCCTGATAGTTTTCACAATATAATCATTTGTTTGCAACTAACGCCGTCCATTGACTTTCATTGAAACTTCACTCTGCAAAGCTCAAATTTGAAGTGCAATTTCTAAACTGCGACTGTGCCTTCAATTTTAATACTTCAGAGACATACTATGCATCAAAATGTAGGTCTGGGTCTTGTGATTCTCACAATATAAAGCTCTTCGCTGTAGGATTTATAGTTTTTAAAATACGACCGTTTGAAGATGGCAACCACCAAAATACTCTGACCTGTGTCAAGCTGCAGCAGCAAGTGATGTCATAGACAGGGCCTTTTGAACACCTGCTAATGTTTTTATAAATGTATGGTTTAATGTAACTGTGCAACAACGTTGCAATTAAATGTGCTATGTGAATGATAACAGTTACTCCGCCCACTCCAGTTGTAGACTACAGGTGGAGGCAAGAACACTTCACACAATTTCACCAGAAATTGTAGCTTTTCTAGTTTTATATTGTATTCTTAATTATTTATATGTTAAATAGAGGATCTCTTACTAACTATATAAAATTATGGCTAATGTATCTGTATTGGTTAGCTCTGCTAAGTTCTATGCTTTAAGACGTTATAGTGGTAAATAAGGGAACCAGCCACGGTTACAGCTTAAATACTAAAGACATGAATCAAAAAAAGGAAGAAAAACTTTGGCAGGAATTTCACATATAGCCATCTTACTTTGAGTAAGAGCTTACAGGATATGGATGTTGAAAAGTTGCATCAGTGTAATGAGTATGTGCACATTTGTTCTCCCTCTGTAAAAATGTCTGCACTTCCTGTACTTGTCATTTAGCCCATTTACTTATGAGAATTCCATAAACTGTATGTTAGACCAACGCAGTAGATTCAGACTTCAGATTAAAGAAGCAGTGGTTTCCAAACCAGTCATCAAGGCACGCCTACCATTCCAGGATTTAGAGATTACCCAGTTGTGTCAAAGTATTTTTTTTCCCCCTTCTTGTAAAAAGACCTTAGACACAACTGGGTAATCCCTAAATCCTGGACTGGTAGGCGGGGCTTGATGACTGGTTTGGAAACCACTGAATTAAAGAGACACGCTAAGTACCACAACCACTACTGCAAACGGTAGATGCAAGCACCTAACCCCTTTAAATCGTCCCACGATAAGCTGTCAGACAGTGACACTTACCTGGTTCTATCTGGCACCCATAGTTCTGTCAGTACAGCTATGCAGTTTCACACTAGCCTACGAAGTTCCATTATCGCTGGCTGAGAGCATCGGCTGTTTGTATACTGTCACACAGTTTCTCATTGAGAACTTATCACTCTGCCGATGTGACTCAATGTTGTCAAATAGAAAAACACGAGCATATTGATTGTGCTCCACCACCATGGCAGCTTTCCTTTAGTTATCAAGCCAAGTCTGTAAAAAGCAGACAGCCAAGCCTGCCAGTGGAAAGTGGGATTGTATGGCTAAGCAGGTTTACTAATGTAATCAGGAAGTGCTGTTTTTGTAAGCCTTGTACATGCATGTTCAGCACTTCAAACAGGCACTGCTACAACAACTGAAGGAATCTGGTGCCGCAAGACACACAGCTTCTTACAAGAAATGTCAGAGGCACACACCCCATGCTTGAAACAACAATATCAGCTAGTCATACTGGGTATAGCTTCCTCATTCTGGTACCAGACACAGGTAATCTGTTTTAGGGGCTAACTGAAATATGCAAGACCACTAACACCTAGCAGGCTATCTGCATTTACAGCAAACACATGTGTACAAGTGTACTGTGCCATTAAAAAGATCATCCACCATCCCCCACCCGCCTCCAGCCAAACTGTTTATGCACATCAGACAATATTTTGTGCATGCAGCTTCAACAATAAATGTACCGTCCAAACAGGGCGTTTTCCCAGATCTAGAATTCCCCTATCATTGCACAGTAATCCAGGTTCTGATGAGAGGCATGAAATTAAACATATGCTTTACCTGAATGACAAAGGTTTTGTCACCAAACCCAGGAGTCATGCCCAGCTGGCCCATGTATGAAGCTTCATTGATAAAGTTCTCAATCCCATGGAAGACACCCCGACCGGTGGCCGATATACGTCCATGAATTCCTCCCTGGCTGATCGGCTTACCAGTTACACAGGCATGTGCATTAATATCCTGCAGAGCAACAAGTGTGTGAAAAATGTTTTTTGTGACAAAATAAAAAAAAAAAAGTTTGGGATTTCTCTTTTAGATAAACTTTTTAAAGACATTAAACAGATCAATCATATGCTGCGCTAAAATCAGCATTTCAGTGAGCCATGGACTCTTACTTTCCTTAGACAGCCTAATAGGAAGCGTTAAAGTGTGATTTAAACAATAAACTTTACATGATATAGAATTCCAATAGGATCAAAGATACTCAAAAAGGCCCAAGACTTGAAGGCTTATTTGTAGATTGCCTAGAATTTAATTTCCTGCAGTAACATGGTGCCAACAAAATACATAAAAAAAAAAAAAAATGAATAATGCAGTACTAAAAGAATTTTCACTTTATGTCTGGACTGACTGGATTTCCTATACAAGTGAAGAACTGGATTTATGTAAATTCTCCCGGCGGGCAGCTTTCACTAGGTTTAACTAAAGACAAGTTAACAGCTTTGATTTTGAAATCATCAATAACCACCTACAGCTTGAAATAGTTTTACCATAGAGAAAATAAACGGGAGAGACATCAGATTGTGTATAAAGGTATAGAAAACAAGGCATGTTATTGGGCAGAGCAGCTTTCTACAGCTAACCAATCCACTGAGTTACAGGAAGTTATACCATGAAAGCACAGCTTAACGTTTAATCGTATACTTTCACATACATGGTGTGCCCTCCTCACCAAGACTGTGGCCTGAAAAACATGCTCCCTGCATGAACCAGTCTAGAGAGAAAAATATCAGAAGCCCCTAGGAGCAGCAACTACTTCTACCATAGTGCTTTAAAAGGAAGCACAGAGGAACCCAAGGGATCGCAGAACCAACCAGATAATTGGACAGACAGGCAAGTACTGGGGATCGTGTGTATGTTGACGCCCTTACAAGACACTTGGGGCAAGATTTTTTATTTTATTTTTTAAATAGTTTTACTGCTTTCAGAACATATCCAGTCCAGTGAGGTCTGCCACTTCTACACTTAGAAAAATAGGTGCTACTCAGGAGCAAAGTATTACACTGAGACGTTCTGCTGGTTTCCAGGGATTGCTTCTCATTTAGCACTTTATCAAGCCACAAAGACGTAAATTGTTGGACAAACATCCAATCAACAGTCTTAGGGTTAAATAATGAAATGAACAGGTTTTTCAACCATGGCAGGTTCACAAACTTACCGTGTGTCCAATAGTATTAGCATAAGTATCTGCTATCCAGGACATTTCCCTCTCTCCTGTGCTCATATCTGGAGCTGGGACATCAATGCCAGGCCCTTAAAGGAGAGAAAGTATTGTTTAACAATCTCCAAAAAGGAAGAAATAAAATCATTGAAAAGGGAGAGAGGAAGGGTGAAAAAAAGAGAAAATAAAAATTCTGAATATGCATGTTAAAAAGAGGAAGTGAAAACATGTCCTTTTACATCAGCCATTAATGGAGCAGACTAATAATTGCAGTAGTCTTGGTAATCCATGCAGTTATAAGTAACTTTATTGTACATATTCAGTGAGCAATAAGCTGTTGAGGTGCATGGAGAGTCCATTTAAGAATTGAAAATGAAATTTGGCCAATGTAAGACTGAGGTGGGTATGAGAAGACATACAATCAGAAGAAAAAGGACTAGATCGTCAGATTACAGTTGAGAATGATGGAGAAGCATTGGACACAGGGCCTTAGTCTAGTGTCACCCTATATTGCATGCGGATACCAGATATTTCAGTTGCAAGGCTGCATCTCTAAGGCAATACCATTTCATTAGGAGATGAACATTGTGCTTAGACTCTTTAAAGGGATATTAAGTACATGTCCACTAAATCAATGTTTCTGGGACAGTGGTCTTTTGACAATAAGGAGCAGCGAGTGGCCCCTGTCCATAGGAATATTATTGGTCATTTTGGTTAGCAGAGAAAGCAGAGTGTTACGTACACTGAGTTAGCAGGATACCCACACAAATCAAAGTGACCTAAAGGAGCAGTCCAGCACGGATGGCCCAGCCAGCACCCCATTGTGACATTACTTTGATTTCCAAATAGACCTACCACAGGTTACAGCCGCAAGCTGATCTCAGACTTATCAAGTTTTCCCTTTGTGGCAGCCCTAGCAGACTAAAGCTAGCTATGGTATAATAATGTGCAAGTGGCTTATTAAGCAAACATTAAAGGCATTGATGGAAGTTCAAGCTGGCCCTGCACAATGGCTGCTACCCTGCTAGAGAGGCAAGAGCCAAGGTCATTTCCAAGGTGACCTTTAAGGAGAAGTGATTGCCTCTATGCCCCATTAATATTTTGCCCTGTGCTGTGGACATCCTTGCAGGAGATCCATTATAATTTGGAAAGGAGATCTTTACTTGGTGTAATAAACAGATGTTTAAAAAGGAAGCTGAGAAGATACTGGAAACACGATGATTGAAGGGGTTAGAGATGGTGAGAGAGAGTGTAGGAAGCATTATTAAACAGCTGTATCAAGCACTGCAGACTGTGCCATACAAGATAAAGCCCAATACATCAAACCTTTAATCCCATGCAGCAGCTCTGCAAACTTACCGATAAAGCCTTTCTTTGCCAGTTCTATCGTGAACCTCCTCGTAATCTTTTCCAGCTCTGCATCCTATGGTGGGAATAAACCACTGAAAAGGTTACATTTCCCAAGTTAATTAAAGCATCTTCAGAGGAACAACTTTCAAAACCATAAACACTTCACTTGCTATAATGTTTACTTTCTTTAAAAGACAAAGCAGGAGAAGGACAAGCCCCGGCAATACATTTACAGAAAAGCCATGTCTCAATGTATTGCCTGGGTCTAGGACACACTGCAGTTACTCAATGTAAAATGGACTTTAAAGGTGGACCACAAAAGAGGGAAGTGAAAGCATTTTAAGCAGTCTCCTCCCATGCAGTGTATTAGCTGGCACAGATTGCCCTCGTAATGCTGCATGAACATCAGACATTGGGGCTTGGTTATCAGACTACAATCTTCATACACAAGAAAAGGAATCGGTCACCATGGGAGCGCTGAGTCTGCCCCTGTATACAGAACCTCAATAAGTTATCATTTCTTTCTGGAATCCGCTTTCAAGTAGACTTGTTTTCAGTCTAGAGTACAATAAACGGACTCTCTTCCGCAGGCCAGCTGACTAAAGCTAAAGATAGTAAGCTCATTATCTAAATAGAAATTAAGCAAACTTGCTTCACTTTCCATAACTCATAGGATTTCAGAGAAAGATGCATTTGTAAGACATTAGGTTAATGAACATTCAAAGCCACATTGTAAGCCCCATATGTATGTGCACACAGCCAAACAGGACCAGTTGACAAACTTTTCTTCAGATCTCTAAAAGGGCACTCACACACGTTCGGAAATGTAGGTTAGTGCCCATTTTGTTTTTAAATCCATTGTAAAAATAGCTTTGCTCCATGAACATACCTACACTGCAGTCTATCCGCTCTAAAAGCACTACTGTGCATAAAGCAATGGCAGGTTTCTGGGAATTGTAGTTCTAAGTGCTGGCTACCTAGAGCAGAAAGACAGGTGAACCATAACTCCCAGAAACCCTTGCTGTGCTAATAAGACTGCTTATGGAAAAAACGTAACAGTTCTATGGGAAGTTAAAGTGTGTCAAAAAGTGGAATAACAAATGCTGACCTTCAAGTAGACATCCAACATTTGGACTTTTTTGGCATATATTTAATGCATTATCTACGGTTTATAAAACAAACACAAACCAACCCCAGCTTGAGGTGTCCTTTCAAGTGTGAAAAACTTACCGAGTAATTCCTAGGGTTTATTTTGACACCCGCTTTGGCTCCACCAAAAGGCACATCTAAAAATAAAAGAAACGCGTCCGTTTGGCCAGGTACATATACATCCAGACATCTCATTTTTCCATGGTAGACAATATAGGTTATTTTATTTGGGATATTTTGGTATGAAAAGTTTCTTTGAGTCCTACATTTTTATACACTCCTTGAATTGTACAATGGATTTTATTGCTCAGTATGTAGGGCAACAGAAGAGACTACATCAATATGGAAGAATGGTTTTCTACTTTTAATTTGGAGAGCATGTGCATTACACAAAGCGACAAATACAATTACAGCCAAAAAGCAGCTGGAACGGTGGGTATAGTCCCTGATGTTTGTACTGATCAGAGTGGTCATCACAAGAAACGGCCTGTGATTGCCCACACGTTGTAATGGAGACTACCAACTGCCTGACTCTTGCAAAACCACTTGTGGCATTTCAGCTGTAAAGGAAGTCACTTAATTGTAAAAATAAACCTCTTTTGGATTACCCTAGCCTGGTCTTTTGTATATTTTGCAGTATAACGTAGCTTGGATGCCCAGCATTCTGGCATGGAGAGCTATCCATAATTTAACATGTGCAATACTTTGCAGAGTGTTCCTGCACTACTAAAGCAAAGACTCTGTACAATAGCTGTGATCATGCAGCAGGGTAGAGAGTTTAGGGTAACTGTGCAATGTTTTAAAAATTGAAGCCTTAGAAATGCAGAAAAGGGTAGATTGCCTTTAACGTCTACTCAGCCAGCCATGGGAATTACATGGCTGGCACTCGTGGGGTTAAAAGCGGGCATAACGTTTAACAGCACAGAGTCCCAAAGAGCATTTCTGTTTATTTATGAGTGGTTCGGCATTCACTGGCAAGCATGGAAGTCTCAGATACCACGAGTTCTTACAGAGAACATCTCTTATGCTCGAGCATCCATGAAAATACAAGACTAATATACCACATGACTGATTGATGAAGAGGTCAGGTTAGGACACTGATGTCGCTGTTCTAGTGTTCAGATTGAAATTCTATATAATCACAGATATATGCTCAAGGTATTTTTTGCAATCAAAGTATTCAAGACGTAGAAGAATTAGGACAACTTACCTACAACAGCACATTTGTAAGTCATCAAAGAAGCCAACGCTTTTACTTCATCAACGCTAACCTCTGTGCTGTAACGAATACCTGAATGAAGAGAGAGAAAAAAAACTAAGGTTAAGAAAATAACATTTCTCTTAATAAACCGTGTAATGAAAACCAAAAGTGAGACTAAGTAGTGCTCAGAAGAATTCAAACTTATGACTTGTGAATAAAGTTCATAAACAACTATTACTCTGAGGGCAGTAACATCCAGGTTAGATACTCCGTTTTAACATTAAAGGGACACTATAGTCACCCAGACCACTTCAGCTCAATGAAGTGGTCTAGGTGCCAGGTCCCCCAGGTTTTAACCCATTTAGATGTAAACATAGTTTCAGACAAACTGCTATGTTTACATAGCAGGGTTAATCCAGCCTCTAGTGGCTGTCTTCCGGACAGCCACTAGAGGTGCATCTGCAACGCTGGAGGCATATTATGCCTCCAACATGCAGAGCGTATTTGCCGCGCATAAGCATTCAGCTCCACTGACGTCGGCGGGGAAGAAGAGGTCACCAGCGCCGAGGGAGCCCGGCGTTGGAATAAGGTAAGTAACTGTAAGGGTTTTAACCCCTTCAGTGCCACGAGAGGGGGACCTTGAGGGTGGGGGCACCCTCTGGGCACTATAGTGTCAGGAAAACCGCTTTCTTTTCCTGACACTATAGTGATCCTTTAAGGTTTGAAAGCAAGTTGCCGAAACACGTTCATTGAAAGGTAAAAAGACACCCAGGTTACACAGACAGCAAGTAGGACTCCTCACTACTGCTTCAGTGTATTTTTTGGCAAAGCGTGACAAACGCCATAAGCCAAGTAAAACCCATCTAGGGTACTCTTCAAGGTATAACCTAGACCAGGGTCGCCCAAAAGGTAGTTCAACATCTGGGGATCTACAACTCCCATGAGGGTTTGCTGCATGCCTTTAGAATGACAAAACATCTTGGTACCAACCTTTTGGGCAACCTAGATGGTAAAAATAAAAGATGGAGCTGATTAAACACACATTTCTCTGTTTATTGGGACTAGGGTTAACCAATGACTGAATTTTAGGTTTCAAAGAGGAGAATACACCAAAGTCCTACACATATGAAGCCTCTAACACCTGAGGTGCCAAGACAACCAGCATTAAAGCACCCTGCTAAATTGGCACAAGCAAAATATAGGCAGGCATTTGCCCAATTTCTATCGCAACAAGGATGTTTGTGTTGAACACTCGTAAACAATTTCCCTCTGTGGTTCCTGATGGGAGACTCAGACAAAATGCATCCTTAGAAAGGAATTTTTGTACAGTATGACTCACTACTTTTTCATGCAGAAAAACGAAAAAGTTTCCATTGGCTCTAAACCAAAAGCTTGCTGAAAGAGACCTTACCACTCCCTAGTTTCAAAGGAGGCTAAATAAGTACCAGCTGACATTTTGTAGAAAGGGGGAAAAAAAAAAAAAAAAGTTTTCCTCCATTTTGCATAAAAATAAATGAATCACCACAGATCAGCTTCAGAAGGGCGTTTGTATATACATGTGGGATTCATATAGGGCAACTAGTAAAAAGGTTTAGCTGGTCTATAAATGAATATCTGCACATCATGCAATTTAGTACAAGTCTTTCACGACTGCTCCTGGGAGAATGTGCACAACTGCAACATGCCAATGTCGACGTAAAGTATTTAGGTATACTACAGACAGAAAATTCTAATTCTCTGAGTCACACCAATCCATTTACAGTTTTTGCCCCAAGGTTTTAAGGCACTTCTATAAATACATTTTAAAATTAAAAACAAGTGCACTTTTTGAGTGCCTAGACTAGTACAAATTATCATGTAAAAACCAAGTAAAAATCTGACAGGTCGACATGTGACATAACCAGGCTGTATGATTAAATAGAGAGCACTTAAACGCTAACCAATAACTATTGGTTAAAAAGAAACTTGATCCAAGGTCACTAAATCGGACAGATTTCTTCAGGAAGGTCACAATGAGTTGACAGCATTTGCACTTTTACCCTACACACAGCTATGAAAAAAAAAAACACGTTTTTCACTGAAAAGAAAAAACGACCACTCAAACACTTGAAGTAGAGTGTATAAACAATTTAGTTGCAGCTATGCTCTATACTAGCAAAGCACGTGGATGTTTGCATCAATGAACTTCATCTTAAAGGAACGCTCTGTTCCCCAGACAAAGTGCAGGTTATGTTTGGCCCCGCAACCTGTAGCCCCACCTCCCATTTGTATAAAATCTCTTCCTGGTTGGAAGTACAGAGCGCAGCCAATGAGAGATCAGTGTGAGCTGACCTGCAAAGAACTCCTTGCCATATAGTGCAGTAAGATGACAGGGATTGGCTGCAGGTCGCCTCGCATTTGCCAGCTGCAAACATACACTGTATGTCCAACCAAGAGAGGTTTTGTGAAAAGTGGAGCATTACTAACGAGGTGGTGTATTGATGCGTAAAGATGCAAGAAAAAAAACCAAAAAAAAAAAAACACACTATTGCATTGCAAACCGTTACTTTACACTGGTTTCCACCATAGAACCCAAAATGATTGAAGTACATCTTATGAGATACATTGCCAGCTTCCAGGGGATTGCACAATTAAATTAATTGTAATGTTTTATATAAAGTTGGAAGGGCACATAGGATCTCATTACATCTTTGAGAATTCAAAGTGATCTTTTACGAGTCAGCTGTCCGAGGCAGAATGAATGGGTCGCACTGTGACTATTTAAAAGGACTGCAATGGCCTTCGACACATGCGATCATTTAGAAGCAAAACACAATCAGACTGCAGCAAAGGGGACAAAATACTAGATCAACCAAATACATTTCTTAGACCAGACAGCACAAATGACATTTTAATCTCCAGAGAACAACAGAGTGGTCAGAAAGCCTATGGCTACTCCCTATTCACCAATTGATCCTTATACCATCTAATTCTATACAAACCACGACAGATGGTTCATAGGGAGTGCACCCACAGAGAAACGCACAATGAACTATTTTGCTTTAAAGGACACTAGGTGTAGTGAGCAGTGTTTAAGACAATGCTGCCAATACACATAAAAAGGTTTGAAATGGGTTTTTGTTTATGGTAATTGGATCTGTAATTAGGTTTTCCCTGAGCATAAAAATAAAAAGATCTAAACAATAGGCTTCAATTGAGAACAATCAGCAGCTGATCAATAGTTCTAAATACATTAATATGGAAACCATTGCAGGCAGGATCCAGTACAGGCTGGTTACAGATATAGGAAGTTCCCCAGAAAAGTGATTACCAGTGGAAATTAAACCCATTAAGAGAATATGGCAATAAAGATAAGTGCAATGCACAGAATATGCTGTGTGTTACTAGTGCCCCAGGACAATGAAAGCAAATCCCAATGTCCTGCAGACTCACCTCCAGCTTTGTTCAGGTATTGGGTGAATAGAGCCATTAAATGAAGACCTAATTACATCCTATACATTGCATCTACTGACTACTATAGTAAATGGGAATTCTTAATGTAAGGACATTGCGGGCCTGACTGAACACCTTCTATAAACCTGCATAGCTCATATAAGGGTCTATCAGGATAATGTCCATTAGAAGATAATTGTCTCTTTGCAGATGATCGTAATTCATACAATATTATTAATAGTCACTGTATTAGCAGATACTACTGTCTATATAGCTGTAATTATAGGAATAAAATGTTAACACAGAGCATCCCTCCCCCAGGGCTTGGAGAGTATGGAGACTGGACCTGGGCTATATCAGAGGATCCAACCTGGGACACTCACATTATACAGAATAATTACACAGGTAGTGTTACCCCCAGTCTCCCCCCCGGTATCCCGGGACTCGCCTCCCTTGCAGAGTGTCCGGTGCTGGGCCTGGTATTACCTCCCGGTGGTATAGTATTACTACTTCCCTTGCACGGTGTCCGGTGCTGGTTGTGCCCGGTATTACCCCCCCCAGTATCCCGGTATTACGGTATAGTTACCTCCCTTGCAGGGTGTCCTATGCTGGCTGTGCATTATGATATATTATGGTATTATTATTAAGATATAGTTACCTCCCTTGCAGGGTGTCCTGTGCTGGCTGTGCTGGGTATTATGATATATTATGGTATTATTACGGTATAGTTACCTCCCTTGCAGGGTGTGCGATGCTGGCTGTGCTGGGCCCGGTATATTATATATTATTATGGTATTAATATTATGGTATAGTTACCTCCCTTGCAGGAGGTGCGGTGCTGGCTGTGCTGGGTATCCCCGGTATTATTATATATGATAGTATTATTTACCTCCCTTGCAGGGTGTCCGGTGCTGGCTGTGCCCGGGGTATTATATTATATTATTTACCTCCCTTGCAGGGCGTGCGGTGCTGACTGTGCTGGGCCCGGTACCCCCGGTATATTATATTATATTATTGTATATTGATTACCTCCCTTGCAGGGTGTGCGGTGCTGGCTGTGCCCGGTATATTATATTATTATATATGGTATGATAGTTACCTCCCTTGTAGGGGGTGCGGTGCTGGCTGTGCCCGGGGTGGTATTATTATATTTACCTCCCTTGCAGGGCGTGCAGTGCTGGCTGTGCTGGGCCCGGTATATTATTATTGTTATTATATTATTATTATTGATTACCTCCCTTGCAGGGGGTGCGGTGCTGGGTATCCCCGGTATTATTATTATATATTATTGATTACCTCCCTTGCAGGGTGTCCTGTGCTGGGCCCGGTATCCCCCGGTATTATTATTATTATGGTATTATATTTACCTCCCTTGCAGGGTGTCCTGTGCTGGGTATATTATTATTATATATTATTATTATTATGGTATATTTACCTCCCTTGCAGGGTGTGCGGTGCTGGCTGTGCTGGGCCCGGTGGTAGTATTATATTATTATGGTATTATTAGTTATTATATTTACCTCCCTTGCAGGGTGTCCTGTGCTGGGTATATTATTATTATATATTATTATGGTATATTTACCTCCCTTGCAGGGTGTGCGGTGCTGGCTGTGCTGGGCCCGGTGGTAGTATTATATTATATTATTATGGTATTATTAGTTATTATATTTACCTCCCTTGCAGGGTGTCCTGTGCTGGCTGTGCTGGGTATATTATATTATTATATATTATTAGTTATTATATTTACCTCCCTTGCAGGGTGTCCGGTGCTGGCTGTGCCCGGTGGTAGTATTATATTATATATTATTATTATGGTATATTTACCTCCCTTGCAGGGTGTCCGGTGCTGGCTGTGCTGGGTATATTATATTATTATTATGGTATTATTATATATTATGGTATTATATTTACCTCCCTTGCAGGGGGTCCTGTGCTGGCTGTGCTGGGTATATTATATTATATTATTATGGTATTATATATTATGGTATAGTTACCTCCCTTGCAGGGGGTGCGGTGCTGGCTGTGCTGGGTAGTATTATATTATTATATAGTTATTGATTACCTCCCTTGCAGGGTGTGCGGTGCTGGCTGTGCCCGGTGGTAGTATTATATTATATTATTATGGTATTATATATTATGGTATAGTTACCTCCCTTGCAGGGTGTGCGGTGCTGGCTGTGCCCGGTGGTAGTATTATATTATATTATTATGGTATTATATATTATGGTATAGTTACCTCCCTTGCAGGGTGGTGCTGGCTGTGCCTGGTGGTAGTATTATATTATATTATTATGGTATTATATATTATGGTATAGTTACCTCCCTTGCAGGGTGTGCGGTGCTGGCTGTGCCCGGTGGTAGTATTATATTATATTATTATGGTATTATATATTATGGTATAGTTACCTCCCTTGCAGGGTGTGCGGTGCTGGCTGGGCCCGGTGGTAGTATTATATTATATTATTATGGTATTATATATTATGGTATAGTTACCTCCCTTGCAGGGTGTGCGGTGCTGGCTGTGCCCGGTGGTAGTATTATATTATATTATTATGGTATTATATATTATGGTATAGTTACCTCCCTTGCAGGGTGTGCGGTGCTGGCTGGGCCCGGTGGTAGTATTATATTATTATTATTATGGTATTATATATTATGGTATAGTTACCTCCCTTGCAGGGTGTGCGGTGCTGGCTGTGCTGTGCCCGGTGGTAGTATTATATTATATATTATTATTATGGTATTATATATTATGGTATAGTTACCTCCCTTGCAGGGGGTCCTGTGCTGGCTGTGCTGGGCCCGGTGGTAGTATTATATATTATATTATTATTATATATTATGGTATATTTACCTCCCTTGCAGGGGGTCCGGTGCTGGCTGTGCTGTGCCCGGTGGTAGTATTATATTATATATTATTATTATGGTATTATATATTATGGTATAGTTACCTCCCTTGCAGGGTGTGCGGTGCTGGCTGTGCCCGGTGGTAGTATTATATTGTATATTATTATTATTATGGTATTATATATTATGGTATATTTACCTCCCTTGCAGGGTGTCCGGTGCTGGCTGTGCCCGGTGGTAGTATTATATTATATATTATTATTATGGTATTATTAGTTATTGATTACCTCCCTTGCAGGGTGTCCTGTGCTGGCTGTGCTGTGCCCGGTGGTAGTATTATATTATATATTATTATTATTATGGTATTATATATTATGGTATAGTTACCTCCCTTGCAGGGGGTCCTGTGCTGGCTGTGCTGGGCCCGGTGGTAGTATTATATATTATATTATTATTATATATTATGGTATATTTACCTCCCTTGCAGGGTGTCCGGTGCTGGCTGTGCCCGGTGGTAGTATTATATTATATTATTATTATGGTATTATTAGTTGGTATATTTACCTCCCTTGCAGGGTGTCCGGTGCTGGCTGTGCCCGGTGGTAGTATTATATTATATTATTATTATGGTATTATTAGTTGGTATATTTACCTCCCTTGCAGGGGGTGCGGTGCTGGCTGTGCCCGGTGGTAGTATTATATTATATATTATTATGGTATTATATTATTATGGTATTATAGTTACCTCCCTTGCAGGGTGTCCGGTGCTGGCTGTGCCCGGTGGTAGTATTATATATTATATTATTATTATATTATTATTATATATTATGGTATATTTACCTCCCTTGCAGGGTGTCCGGTGCTGGCTGTGCCCGGTGGTAGTATTATATTATATTATTATTATGGTATTATTAGTTGGTATATTTACCTCCCTTGCAGGGTGTCCGGTGCTGGCTGTGCCCGGTGGTAGTATTATATTATATTATTATTATGGTATTATTAGTTGGTATATTTACCTCCCTTGCAGGGGGTGCGGTGCTGGCTGTGCCCGGTGGTAGTATTATATTATATATTATTATTATTATGGTATATTTACCTCCCTTGCAGGGGGTCCGGTGCTGGCTGTGCCCGGTGGTAGTATTATATTATATATTATTATTATTATGGTATTATTATTATGGTATATTTACCTCCCTTGCAGGGGGTCCGGTGCTGGCTGTGCCCGGTGGTAGTATTATATTATATATTATTATTATTATGGTATTATATATTATGGTATATTTACCTCCCTTGCAGGGTGTCCTGTGCTGGCTGTGCCCGGTGGTAGTATTATATTATATTATTATTATGGTATTATTATATATTATGGTATTATATTTACCTCCCTTGCAGGGTGTCCTGTGCTGGCTGTGCTGGGCCCGGTGGTAGTATTATATTATTATTATGGTATTATTATTATGGTATATTTACCTCCCTTGCAGGGTGTCCTGTGCTGGCTGTGCTGGGCCCGGTGGTAGTATTATATTATTATTATTATGGTATTATATATTATGGTATTATATTTACCTCCCTTGCAGGGGGTCCTGTGCTGGCTGTGCTGGGCCCGGTAGCCCTCCACCACCTCCCACTCCCCGTTGTCCCGTTTGATGGGGAAGCTGACGCTCAGCACGTGGTTGCACGGTTTGATGATCCGCAGGATCCCCTTGACGCGGACCCGTTTTTGCTCCTCGGTCTCGCGGGTCCGCAGGTCCTCCAGCAGTTTGTCCTCCACGATGCCGGCGCCGCGGTCGAAGAAGCCCTCCACCATTTTGAAGAAGTTGGGATCGTCCTCGGAGTCCACGGCCTGGCTGTACCGGCGGAGGGCGGCGGCCGCGGCGGGCAGCGCGGAGTCAGCGGCGGAGGAGGACAGCGCGGCCCCATTGCGGGTAACCAGCTCCCCCAGGTAGCGGAACATGGCGGCGGCTGAGACTGCAGAGAGTGCGGGGAGAGCGGGCGGACTGAGCGGCGAGCAGCGACCGTCAGGAGGACAGCGGCACGCACCGCGCTTTATATAACCTGCCCGGGGAGGGGGCGGGGCCGGGGGCGGGGCTAGCTACTGAGGGAAACAACAACCGACCGAGTGCACCATTTGGGGAAATGGGAGGGGCCGTGGGCGCGCGGAGAGACAGGGCGGGGATCGCTGGCAGGCGGATTGTGGGCGTGGCCTGAGACCAAACCACCTGGATACAGTCTGTGACATCACTGCCTGGCAACCAAGGGGTTAAACACGGAGTGTCACTGTACAGCAATACTGGCAGTGATAGGGTTAAACACAGAGTGTCACTATACAGCAATACTGGCAGTGAGAGGGTTAAACACAGAGTGTCTCACTATACAGCAATACTGGCAGTGATAGGGTTAAACACAGAGTGTGTCACTATACAGCAATACTGGCAGTGAGAGGGTTAAACTCAGAGTGTCTCACTATACAGCAATACTGGCAGTGATAGGGTTAAACACAGAGTGTGTCACTATACAGCAATACTGGCAGTGAGAGGGTTAAACTCAGAGTGTCTCACTATACAGCAATACTGGCAGTGATAGGGTTAAACACAGAGTGTGTCACTATACAGCAATACTGGCAGTGATAGGGTTAAACACAGAGTGTGTCACTATACAGCAATACTGGCAGTGATAGGGTTACACACAGAGTGTCTCCCTATACAGCAATACTGGCAGTGATAGGGTTAAACACAGAGTGTGTCACTATACAGCAATACTGGCAGTGATAGGGTTAAACACAGAGTGTCTCACTGTACAGCAATACTGGCAGTGAGAGGGTTAAACACAGAGTGTCTCCCTATACAGCAATACTGGCAGTGATAGGGTTAAACACAGAGTGTCTCCCTATACAGCAATACTGGCAGTGATAGGGTTAAACACAGAGTGTGTCACTATACAGCAATACTGGCAGTGAGAGGGTTAAACACAGAGTGTGTCACTATACAGCAATACTGGCAGTGATAGGGTTAAACACAGAGTGTGTCACTATACAGCAATACTGGCAGTGATAGGGTTAAACACAGAGTGTCTCCCTATACAGCAATACTGGCAGTGATAGGGTTAAACACAGAGTGTGTCACTATACAGCAATACTGGCAGTGAGAGGGTTAAACACAGAGTGTCTCACTGTACAGCAATACTGGCAGTGAGAGGGTTAAACACAGAGTGTCTCCCTATACAGCAATACTGGCAGTGAGAGGGTTAAACACAGAGTGTCACTATACAGCAATACTGGCAGTGAGAGGGTTAAACACAGAGTGTCTCACTATACAGCAATACTGGCAGTGATAGGGTTAAACACAGAGTGTGTCACTATACAGCAATACTGGCAGTGAGAGGGTTAAACTCAGAGTGTCTCACTATACAGCAATACTGGCAGTGATAGGGTTAAACACAGAGTGTCACTATACAGCAATACTGGCAGTGATAGGGTTAAACACAGAGTGTCTCACTGTACAGCAATACTGGCAGTGAGAGGGTTAAACACAGAGTGTCTCACTATACAGCAATACTGGCAGTGATAGGGTTAAACACAGAGTGTCTCCCTATACAGCAATACTGGCAGTGATAGGGTTAAACACAGAGTGTGTCAGCAATACTGGCAGTGATAGGGTTAAACACAGAGTGTCTCACTATACAGCAATACTGGCAGTGATAGGGTTAAACACAGAGTGTGTCACTATACAGCAATACTGGCAGTGAGAGGGTTAAACACAGAGTGTCTCCCTATACAGCAATACTGGCAGTGATAGGGTTAAACACAGAGTGTGTCACTATACAGCAATACTGGCAGTGATAGGGTTAAACACAGAGTGTCTCACTGTACAGCAATACTGGCAGTGAGAGGGTTAAACACAGAGTGTCTCCCTATACAGCAATACTGGCAGTGATAGGGTTAAACACAGAGTGTCTCCCTATACAGCAATACTGGCAGTGATAGGGTTAAACACAGAGTGTGTCACTATACAGCAATACTGGCAGTGAGAGGGTTAAACACAGAGTGTGTCACTATACAGCAATACTGGCAGTGATAGGGTTAAACACAGAGTGTGTCACTATACAGCAATACTGGCAGTGATAGGGTTAAACACAGAGTGTCTCCCTATACAGCAATACTGGCAGTGATAGGGTTAAACACAGAGTGTGTCACTATACAGCAATACTGGCAGTGAGAGGGTTAAACACAGAGTGTCTCACTGTACAGCAATACTGGCAGTGAGAGGGTTAAACACAGAGTGTCTCCCTATACAGCAATACTGGCAGTGAGAGGGTTAAACACAGAGTGTCACTATACAGCAATACTGGCAGTGAGAGGGTTAAACACAGAGTGTCTCACTATACAGCAATACTGGCAGTGAGAGGGTTAAACAGAGTGTCTCACTGTACAGCAATACTGGCAGTGAGAGGGTTAAACACAGAGTGTCTCCCTATACAGCAATACTGGCAGTGATAGGGTTAAACACAGAGTGTCTCCCTATACAGCAATACTGGCAGTGATAGGGTTAAACACAGAGTGTGTCACTATACAGCAATACTGGCAGTGATAGGGTTAAACACAGAGTGTCTCACTATACAGCAATACTGGCAGTGATAGGGTTAAACAGAGTGTCTCACTATACAGCAATACTGGCAGTGATAGGGTTAAACACAGAGTGTCTCACTATACAGCAATACTGGCAGTGATAGGGTTAAACACAGAGTGTCTCACTATACAGCAATACTGGCAGTGAGAGGGTTAAACACAGAGTGTCTCACTGTACAACAATACTGGCAGTGATAGGGTTAAACACATAGTGTCACTGTACAGCAATACTGGCAGTGATAGGGTTAAACACAGAGTGTCACTATACAGCAATACTGGCAGTGATAGGGTTAAACACAGAGTGTGTCACTATATTGCAATACTGGCAGTGATAGGGTTAAACACAGAGTGTCACTGTACAGCAATACTGGCAGTGATAGGGTTAAACACAGAGTGTCTCACTGTACAGCAATAGTGGCAGTGATAGGGTTAAACACAGAGTGTCTCACTATACAGCAATACTGGCAGTGAGAGGGTTAAACAGAGTGTGTCACTATACAGCAATACTGGCAGTGATAGGGTTAAACACAGAGTGTCTCACTGTACAGCAATACTGGCAGTGATAGGGTTAAACACATAGTGTCACTGTACAGCAATACTGGCAGTGATAGGGTTAAACACAGAGTGTCACTATACAGCAATACTGGCAGTGATAGGGTTAAACACAGAGTGTGTCACTATATTGCAATACTGGCAGTGATAGGGTTAAACACAGAGTGTGTCACTATATTGCAATACTGGCAGTGATAGGGTTAAACACAGAGTGTGTCACTATATTGCAATACTGGCAGTGATAGGGTTAAACACAGAGTGTCACTACATTGCAGTGCTGGCAGTGATAGTTTTAAACACAGAGTGTCTCACTATATAGCAATACTGGCAGTGATAGGGTTAAACACTGAGTGTCTCACTATACAGCAATACTGGCAGTGATAGGGTTAAACACAGAGTGTCACTGTACAGCAATACTGGCAGTGATAGGGTTAAACACAGAGTGTCACTGTACAGCAATACTGGCAGTGATAGGGTTAAACACAGAGTGTCACTATACAGCAATACTGGCAGTGATAGGGTTAAACACAGAGTGTGTCACTATATTGCAATACTGGCAGTGATAGGGTTAAACACAGAGTGTCACTACATTGCAGTGCTGGCAGTGATAGGGTTAAACACAGTGTCTCACTATATAGCAATACTGGCAGTGATAGGGTTAAACACCTAGTGTCACTATATTGCAGTACTGGCAGTGATAGAGTTAAGCATTGAGTTTCTCACTATATAGCCATACTGGCAGTGATAGGGTTAATCATTGAGTGTCACTATATAGCAATACTGGCAGTGATAGGGTTAAACACTGACTGTCTCACTATACAGCAATACTGGCAGTGATAGGGTTAAACACTGAGTGTCTCACTATACAGCAATACTGGCAGTGATAGGGTTAAACACAGAGTGTCACTGTACAGCAATACTGGCAGTGATAGGGTTAAACACAGAGTGTCTCACTGTACAGCAATACTGGCAGTGATAGGGTTAAACACATAGTGTCACTGTACAGCAATACTGGCAGTGATAGGGTTAAACACAGAGTGTCACTATACAGCAATACTGGCAGTGATAGGGTTAAACACAGAGTGTGTCACTATATTGCAATACTGGCAGTGATAGGGTTAAACACAGAGTGTCACTACATTGCAGTGCTGGCAGTGATAGGGTTAAACACAGAGTGTCTCACTATATAGCAATACTGGCAGTGATAGGGTTAAACACCTAGTGTCACTATATTGCAGTACTGGCAGTGATAGAGTTAAGCATTGAGTTTCTCACTATATAGCCATACTGGCAGTGATAGGGTTAATCATTGAGTGTCACTATATAGCAATACATTCAGTGATAGGGTTAAACACTGAGTGTCTCACTATACAGCAATACTGGCAGTGATAGGGTTAAACACTGAGTGTCTCACTATACAGCAATACTGGCAGTGATAGGGTTAAACACCTAGTGTCACTATATTGCAGTACTGGCAGTGATAGAGTTAAGCATTGAGTTTCTCACTATATAGCCATACTGGCAGTGATAGGGTTAATCATTGAGTGTCACTATATAGCAATACATTCAGTGATAGGGTTAAACACTGAGTGTCTCACTATACAGCAATACTGGCAGTGATAGGGTTAAACACTGAGTGTCTCACTATACAGCAATACTGGCAGTGATAGGGTTAAACACCTAGTGTCACTATATTGCAGTACTGGCAGTGATAGAGTTAAGCATTGAGTTTCTCACTATATAGCCATACTGGCAGTGATAGGGTTAATCATTGAGTGTCACTATATAGCAATACATTCAGTGATAGGGTTAAACACTGAGTGTCTCACTATACAGCAATACTGGCAGTGATAGGGTTAAACACCTAGTGTCACTATATTGCAGTACTGGCAGTTATAGAGTTAAGCATT